TTGTGTTATCATATGAGTAGTAGGCGAATGTACCGGCGACTGATTAACTATGCCGACCCTACTTTAGGTCATTTTTTTATTATCCAAGAAACGTTCCGAGCGCCTGTGAGACCAGTACGAGTACTTTGTTCTGCCCCATTGTACCAGACGTCCACGCATTGTCTTCAGCAACCAACCACACGAATAAATCACCAGGTCTCTGAGGTATACACAGTGTCGGTAAATTTATAGGGCAAAATGAATAAAACGTTCCATTTTAATTTCCTTATTGACGTTATAGAAATTTTAAATTTTAAAATGACGTGTGTGTTAAAAACGACGTGTGTGTTAAAAATGACGTGTGTGTTTTTAAAAATGGCGTGTGTGAGGTCGAATGAAAATTTCGTGTGTGTAAAAAGAAAAAAAACGCGTGCATTAACTTATTTACGCCCGTGGGGGCGCTGTTTGAATAGATTTTTTTTTCGTGTGCGCAAAAAAAACGCGTGCGTTAACCTTTTTATGCCTGTGGGGGCGCTATTTGAGAGATTTTTTTTCGTGTGTGTGTTAAAAAAATCGCGTGCATTAACCTATTCACGCCTGTGGAGGCGTCGTCTCAAGTGGTAGCCATTTTCGTTTGTGGATTTCTATAACGTCAATAAGGTACGTAAAAAGGAACTTGTCTAGCACGAACGTTTTATTCATTCTGCTCTATAAATTTACCGACACTGTGTATACCCAGAGACCTCAGAGACACTCAAAGGGCACGTTGATGGAATTCACGTTTCAACGCACATGCGTTGACTCTTGCAAACCAGTGAGTGTATTATAATCTATCACCTTTTATTAAATGAACAAAATTGTTCTTGAAAAAAAAATACGGGCGGAGATGAAAGGTTTTCTGGTAAAATGAAATTTTATGAAAACAGGAAAAATGGTTGTTTCGATGGGAATGTTCACTATACACACGTTGTACACGAGTGTCGATAATGTTGAATTGGAATGAACAATCGGTAACAGCAGAGAGCTGATATAGTTGTATTTCTCTGACTCTGTGTCAAACATTTTCTATCGGATATTATTTATCATTTGGATCGAAAATGCGATTCTTCGCTTCGTCAGGTTCTTTGCTAATGCAATATTTATTTTCAAATGATATAAAATACTGGACGAACAACAATACCAAGTTATGATTCACCATGCCCAAATCCAGCTACTTTTGTGTCATAATATACTAGTGCAATTATCATTTTCACTCTTGAATTGAGTGGATCCAACACAA